AACCCCCCCCCCCCCCCCCCCAAAAAAAAAGCTTATCCACATCAGGGGATCTGACGAACATTGATCTCACATTTCCTGGACCGATCCTCAACCACAATTGACCCCAGATCGGCATGACGGCAGAAACTTGTGAACCAGTCGGGTGAGAACTTGGGCTAGAAAAAAAAAAATCTACCGGTGAACCGGCAGATTGAACCGATAGAATCTGTTTTACTTGTTCTTGTAGGTTTAAAGAGGCTACCGCACAGAAGGGCTGAGTCCACAATTAATGCGAGTGGCATTTGCCATTGCTTGTGGGGACCACATTACTATGTCAGATGTCACTGAAAGGCATTGTGGCCCCAGACCGCCTCATGCAGGAGAGAGGATCATTGTTAATCACCAGAACAGGCCGCCGACATGGACTGGCACTACTGCGACTGAGATCGTGGAAGAAGTCAGTACATCAAGGATTGAAAATTCGCATGGAAATATGAAAAAAGGAACATGAAGTGGTTTTGCGTGCTCTTGCCACCAACCAGGATTCATAAGCAGTGCAGTGGCGCATGTCCCGCTGCACCATACCCCAGTGGCGCAAGTTGGCCGCTCATCGCATGTGTCCTGCTCGCCACACAATCGTAAACAGAAACGAGTCATTGAGCAACTCAACTCGCTCTGAGCAAAAGGGAACCTGCCGATGCACGTGGTCTTTTAATGAAGAAAAAAAAGGTTGTCTACCTGCTCATGCATGACAGGCTGGGACCATAACCGGAGCAGGGCACATTTGCCGCTGCACCGTGGCCCAGTGGCGCAAGGTGGTCACCCGTCGCACTAGGCCACGACGCAGTGTCAGATGAATACAACACTGGTCGTGGCCCTGGACTGCCGCACATGAAGCATCAGAGGTGAAGGGGATAAGGACGGCTTTATCAAAACGGTTTTTCCAGGAGATCTTTACACGCTTGCGATCGTGGGGCATAAACTTCTATAGAAACGATCAGATTGTTGAATTGGTGGATCCGGGGGGAAGAGGGTTCAAACCCAGTGCCACAACCAGGAAGCGAAGGAGGAGAACACAGGCGCAGTCCGAAACCATACATTGACCTGTTCAAACCACACACACCGCCCACAGTGGCACACGACCAAAGATGTGGAAGATGTTCACGGCCGCGATCGGTCACGTCTTGATTTGCATGTTTCTCTTCACGTGGCGTTCGAATGTGTTCTTTAACATTTGGACGGTCATGGGCGTGATGAGTACCTTCACCTTCAACTGTTACTGGTCTGATAAGCATCCAGCTGGCGCGAATCGGAAGCCAAGCTTCTCGCCCTAGGGCTGCTTGGTGGCTGGCCAGGTGCTCTATTTGCCCAAGAGCTCCTTGGCCACAAGACCACAAAAGAACCATTTCGGAGTGTCTTTCGCGGTTCCATGTTCTTGCACGTTCTTCTCACCATCTTGACTTATTATTATGTTGGTTGACCTGCCGTTCCTGATGAGCGTAAACCGCTCAATTGATGCTCAAATGTATCACTCTCCAGCGTATCAATCGCACACAGAGGCCTGCCGAGCTGAATATGATGTTGCTGCATGAATATGCGCCCCGTGTTCTGCAGTCAAATTATATCTGATTGACATGTGTGAGGTCGGTCAAAGCCAAGACTGTGCTGTGATATGCGTGGTAAGCTTCAGCCCTCCCAGCAGCAACACATCAAGGATCCAAACGTCGTGCTGCTGACATTTTTGGTACAAAGAGCATGTCACGTCCGGTGCGACCAGACACAAAATCCTTGATACCGGACTGTCTTGTTGGCATGGTGGTTGAAAATAGGTGGCATCAATTGAGAAAATGGCAGTGCCGTGTCTGAAACGAGCTAATACATCCCAGCCAAACGCTGGTGCTGCAACAGGTCAGCAAGGGAAGGCTGCTGCAGAGCCTGCCAGACCTGAAGCGATCACAAGAATGTGGTACATGTAAGGGCCAGAATCCAACACGACACGAGCAAGAGCACCCCTTCAGCAATCAGAAATACCAACCGATGCAGCATGGGAATACCACTCTGCTTCCGTGGCTTCAGATTGCCGCCCACGACAAATGGCCCGACGGGGCAGAGCGTACACCTGCTCGGGCACGCGATATGAGTCGCGAATGGAGCATGTGGGCCATATCATCGCTCGAACAGCAGCAAGCAGTCGGTACAACACGCCGTGCAACACACAAACCTGCTCTCGAAGCTCAGCGCATGCAAGGTCAAACGAGGGATGTCCAGAGTAGCCGCCATGCCCCGCCCGATCGTCACGTGAAGGCAAGCAGACAAAAGCTGGTCGCGAATGAGCTCGGTTGGGCCTGGAGCTTCCTGAAGCCGCGCCACGTGTGGAGCTTGATGCGTTGGCCCCGGCTTGCGTTTGAGACTCATTATGGTCGCCGGGAGCATCGTCTGCGTTGGTGCGACACGCGCGCTGGCGCCGATACCCGTGCCCTTTTGAACCTGACTTTTGTGACCCCGAGCTAGGGGTTCATGGCACTCACATGAGTGGCAACGAATGCCGTGATTAGCGGGCAATAAGAAAGAACATCTTGGTACGCTACCAACCCGCAATCAAGAAGCGTCGAGTAGCTGTGATGGAAGAAAAGTTCGGCCATGTCAATGAGACGCTCGGTGACACCAGGAACAAAAAATTCACGCGGTGCCTAGAATTGGTGGTTGGCAACCCGGCAATGAGAGAGGCATCTGTACCCTTTGTTTGCCCTCGTGGCACGAGAAAAAGTCCGTGCCACAGGGGTTCAGGAAATCGTCAGGGATGCCGGCCTCGAAGACATACCCGGTTGTAGACCATCACCAGCTTTGCATAGGTGGGTGCCATGACCATGAGCTTGGCCGCAATGCGCTGCCAGGCCGGTTCCTTGGCGGGCAGGTAGCGGTCTGGTCGGGGTGCGGCCATGTGATCACACATGCGGAGCAAACTATTCGCACAAATGACAACAGAAGGATGAGCAAAGGCTGCTCAAAACGTGTCTCCTCATCTTGGCGCGAGCATGCGGACCTCCAAAGCTCAGTGTCTGGCGTCCAACGTTGCGTCACCAAGACCACGTGTGCCACGGACATGGCAAACAGAATCAACTACGGTTGAAGCATGAAATGCCAGCACAGAGTAAGCAGCAGGTGCAGCACCCAGTGAGGATATGTTGCACCTGTTGAATGAGCATTGTCAATCACGCGGATGGGCAAGGCTATACAAACCTGGCAGGCACGATGGCGAAGAAGTTGCTCAGCCGTTTCCAAGCCAAAGGGGATTTTGTCAGATGGGATATCCATGAGCTCATCCAACTCGCTTAAGCTGAGGAGGGGCTGGAAAACGATGGCAGGGTGATGATGAGATGCAGTTGGTGCATGGCATGATGTGGCAGCGCGACGACACGCCACATGCACACAGAGAATTTTGAGCACCACACAATTACACACTCACCTGAAGATCCAAGAGAATATGCCGATTCGACGTGATGCGAAAGTTGATGCCACGCGTGCAGCGTTGCCCACTTAGCACTTGATCCTCGGAAGCAATAGGAAAGGATGGAGTGGCTGATTTTGGTTGCATAACAACGGGTGAGGTTGTGAAAACGGTGGGCAGCGGGAAAGGCACGAATCAGTGGGCAGGGGCTGGAAGCAAGATCAAACCTTTGCCATCGGTAGTGCTAAGCTGCGCGTCTTGATCAAAAGCATTGAGCAGGGTGGACTTGCCCGAATGCTCGCGCCCCAAAACGGCAATCACCAGAAACTTGTCGTTGTTGGGTACAAAGGCGTCCTGTGACGGGCATCAGCAGAGGATGAATTGAAATGATCATGGCCCACCTCAAACGACAGCGTTGAGAGGAGTGCCTACCGCCATCGCATTTTGCCAGACACCATCCTCGATAGACACCAAGGTGCCAGATGTAATGGAAGGTGCACGTGGCGCTGTGGCTCTGAGCGTGGAGATCAATTCAGGTGCTGATGAGTGCAACCCCAAGCATCGAGTGATCTACAAGAGGGAAGGGAGGGGGATGGGGGTTCGTGGAAAAACAGGTTCTGACTTGGAGTTGCGCGTGGCCGTGTTGTTTGGTGGTGGTTCTTTAGTGGCAGCGGACGTCTGGCTTCG